GCTGGGGGGGGGAGATGGCCAAGATTGCGGTTGCGCTCCTGCAGGAAAGACGGGCGTGATCTTGGCCACCCCCCCCCCGCCCCCAGCACGATCGCAGCCAACTCCCCACTTGTGGGGGGGGGGGGAGATGGCCACAATCATGGTCATCACCCAATGCAGAGTTCGTGACCTGAGTCAATTTTTTAATGAAATTTTTGTTTGCAACCCAATTTGGTCGTGAACTGAGGCGTTCATGAGCCAAGGTAGCACTGTACGCTAAAACATATTAAACATAATGCAGCATTTTAATAATGTTAACAAGTACTGGAGAGAGAGAGAGAGAGAGAGAGAGAGAATGTATGTGTGTAGGTATACAGTACAGTTCTTAAAACCATTTAAATGGAAAGAGAAAAAAATAGTAAAAATATTCTTAAAGAATAACTCTCCTTGAACTAGCATTAAGGCTAAAATTAACTGGATGATGAAGGAGAAGGGGCTGGTGCTAGAGAGTCCGGGTTTAATTATGCTGCTGGAGAGGGGGTTTACCACTGGAGTCGCTTTCTAGTTCTGACTTTGCTGCTTGCCAGCACCACTTTTTCGCTCTCCTTTCCGCTTCCTTTCCTCACCGCTCATCGTTTCCCGCTCACCACCCACTTGCTGCTCAAGGGCAAGGATGAGACAGATTTCCAGGTTTGCTCATTTGTAAGTACAGGTTGTTCGTAACCCAAACATTTGTAACCCAGGGACTAACATACTAAGTTGTTGTGATGAATACTGAGATAATCTGGAAAATCCTGGCAGTTAAGGAAATGTGATATAAATTGGAGTTTGCATAATGGAGCTGCACCAACCTGTCCTAATGTGGAAACAAAGAATAATTAAATTTGCAGACAACACTAAACTGGGTGGAACAGCTAACATCCTGGAAGAAGATCCAGGGTGACCTAGACAAGCTAGAACACTGGGTGGAAGGCAACAGAATGAAATTCAACAGCGACAAATGTTGAGTTCTCCACCTAGAGGGGAAAAAAGTATTGATACAACATGGAGAATACTTGGCTCAATAGCACTGAAGGAGAAAAAGACTTTGGAGTTGTTGTAGACAACAAGCTGAATATGAGCCAACAATGCAATGTGGCTACAAAAAGGACAAAAGCCATTTTAGGCTGCATTAATGGAAGTATAATTCCATTATAAAAGCTTCTAAACTCCATGAAGTATTAGTTTCCCTTTACTCAGCACTGGTTAGGCCTCATCTGGAGTACTGTGTCCATTTCTGGGCACCACAGTTTAAGAAAGATGCAGACAAGCTGGAAAGGGTTAAGAGGAGGGCAACAAAGATGATCCAGGGTCTGGAAACTAAGCCCTATGAGGAGAGATTGAGAGAAAACTTAGAGGAGATATGATAGCTCTCTACAAGTACCTCAAAGGCTGTCACAAAGAGGAAGGAAAAGATCTCTTTTCACTCATCCCTGAATGTAGGACAGGGAACAACACACTCAAACTACAGCACAGAGTCAGGTGAGACACCAAGAAAAACCTCCTAACTGTCAGAGCAGTGCGACAGTTGCCAAGAGAGGTCGTGCGCTTTCCCACACTAGAAACGTTCAAGGTGAAGCAAGACAGTCATCTGTGTGGCATGGCATAATGTGCGATGCTGCACCAGCAGGGAGCTGGACCCATTGGCCTCCTTGGCCCTTTATGACTCTACTTTTCAATGAATCTATGGATCTACTGCTGTTTCTCTGGGGCTGGTTATATAACATGCTAAGCATGTCAGATACATAAGTGGTAGTTCCACTTACAAAATAAAATCAACAGGAACACAGCTGCCCTGTTGGATACTGCCTTTCACTTTCACTTTTGCCAAATAAAGACAATGCCTTGTTTAAGTAGTTTTCACTGCTAGTCATTATTACAACAATAATTACTTACATCCAATATTTCTAAATAGAAGTTACTGTTTATCATGTGACACCAAAACTAAGCATGTAAATTAAAGGACTGGTAGCTTAGGCTGTAATTCTGCACACATTTACCAGGGAACAGGCACCATTAAAGTGAACTGGGCTTCCTTCTGAACTGAAATGTACAGGTTGCAGTGCTAGCGTGGTGTTGTGGTTGGACTGGGACTTGGAGGTCCATTGTCTGAACCTCACTCATCCATGAAGCAGACTGGAGGACTTTGGGCCAGTCACTGACTCGCCACCTACCCTAACTCACAGAGTTGTTGTGAAGATAGAAATGGAGAGGAGGGAGACCTTGTCAGTCAGCTGGGGATCTTAAAGGAAAGGGTAGGCTATACCCACTTTAATGAATGCAATAAATGTAATGAGAAATAAATATTATTATCACAATACCCTAAGCTGACTGCACAGTAAGGATTGCCCCATATCTTATAATGTATCCTTTACTATTATGCTCTTATTTTTAAAGCTATGAAAACTATCAGTTTTTCTTTGAATCATCAGAACCCCAAATTAGAGAAGAAAAAAATCTCATGATACTTCTGCTACCTGATTTGTTTAGACCACTTTTCTGAGCAACAATTTATCCTCCCCAAAACCTCCCAAAGCAGCTTAATTGAGGTTTGACTGAGAGGCCTTGTGACTTTCATCAATGCCTAGGGATTTGAACTTCAGTTTCCCATGCCCAAACTCAAAACTCTAGCATTGTATTTGAGCGCTTTCCAGCAAGCTGTGCTCGGTGGGTTCAGACAACACAGCAAGTCAAGTCCATGCAGATATTTAAGCACATGGCACTTTGTTTAATCCATGCTGATCATGCAAACTGGCTCAGATCCTTATGTCTGTGTGAAAAGGGAAAATTCCGCCTTGGAAAATGTTACCCCTTTTTATTGTAGCCAGCCATTACTGGGTTATATAATGAAAAATAATAGTAATAATAATTCCTTGTTCAATAGCCAGAATTCAGGCCACCTATCCTCTTAAGAGGGAATAAGTAAACCTAAGACCACAGAGTACAACAGCAACAATGAATGATAAGGCTAAAAGAAATAACATCTAATCAAGAGTGAGAAAAACATGGACATATAAGAAGAGATGTATTAAAACAATACTGCTAAAGAGAACCTGGGAAGACAGCCAAGGGAAACAAAAGCAAAAGAGACATCAACTGCACTGATAAGCCGGTATCTAGATAAGATCAGATTCTGACATGGACTCCACAGCGAATGGGTGCAAGGAGGAATCCTGCATGTAAGTGGTGAGATCACACTCTCTGTTCCAGAATACAACATGATGTACAAACAGAAAAAGAAAACTTCTGTACGGGATCCAATATAAATGTTCTGAATTTAGTGTCAGGAGAATCTAATCAAAACCAAGATACTAATGAATATAGCATTTACTCAAGCAGTAAACAGCTCTACTAACAGCAAGACCAAATTAAAACAGTACAGGCCATCAAGATAAGTTAATGAATATAATGAATTACTTCAGTGGGTCTGCTCATCAGGCAGCTCAAAGAAAAGTGAAGTAACAGAGACGTTTTATTCTACTGTGTTCCAAAAATCAATTCAGAGGGATCATCTAAACAGGTTTCATTCATAACCTTTGTTTGCACTGAACATGGTTTCTACTTCAGTCATAATGCGCAGACAGCTCTGCCTTAATTATTGGCATTATCACTTAACTTTTGTGTGTGCATGACAGTTAAAATGGTATACAGTAGTCCCCCGAAATTCGTGGGGGATGCATTCCTAGAGCACCCGTGAATTGTGAAAAAACGCAAATTTGGTGCCGGTGATGGGCGCCAGTCGCCAAGGTGGTGTGGGTGGGAGGCGCAGGCTGGGCTGGGCCAGGGGGGTGAGTGCGTGTGGCAAGGCACGAGCAGGGGCGGGCAAGCACAGAGATCGTTTTCTCCGAGCGAGTCCAAACCAATCTCCTTGAGAGCAAGGCTGTTCACAAGGAGATCGGTTTGGACTCGTTCGGAGAAAATGATCTCCTTATGAGCAAGCCACCACAGGAAAAATTCCACGAAAGACTGAGGTCGTGAACGCTGAACCACAACTGCACGGGAGTACACTGTAAAGCTAATTGTGAATTTACAGTGTAGATATAACCCATGTCAGTGTGTTTCACCATTATCCACCAAAGATCAAGCATACAAAATGCATGATGACATGACAATGTCATAACATGCTCACGCTATCTTCCCAGAGTATTTTCACAGCATCTGATTCCACCCCAATCTGAAGTAAAGAGGTAAAGACAAAACAATGGAGTACAGGCAAGAAGACACTTGTCCCAATTCTCAAAGTATGCTCCCACTTACTGGGAACAAGATGAACAAACATGTCCTGCCCAGCCATTCTTCTTGGTTATCATTAACAGAGTAGTTTTTTATAAGTTTTATGCATTCTGAACCAACTTGTTCCAGTCCAATAGACTAATCAAGCTCAGTACCAGTAGCCAGAGCAAAGCTGTCCCCCAGGTGGCAGTCAGTGTGTGTTATAGAGGGGACAGCCCCTGACTGATCCTCTGTTGGAGGAGAGAGCTGCATATCCTATGTAGTCTTCCCTGTACCCCACAAGTTAGCCTAAAGCTCTCAGGTGAGTTAGGGGATACCACCTATTGCCAGTATGGAAGTAGATTCAATTATCAGTCCAGTTAGCTTTTGTAGATGCAGTGGGATGGAGATGCATTTTGTCCTTCAGTTCAGGGCACAATGGGCCTAGACCCCTATTTAAAAGAGAAAATCTTCTGTTCAGTTGTTTAGCAAGCCCACCAGACAGCATCTTGATGGCTATGGGACTTTTCAGTGTCCCAACTGAAAACTGTCAGAAAATGGCTCCAACATCAGAATGGGAACTCTGGTAGGTGCACTCTCCTCCACCTCACAGCCAGCATGGACAGAACTGCCACCAGCTGTGTCTCCAAGGGTGCAAAAGCAACCTCAAAGACAGGCAAAATCTATTTTGGGATGCATTAACAGAAGTATTACTTCCAAATCACGAGACGCAGTAGTTCCTCTATACTCCCCACTAGTCAGACCTCACCTGGAATATGGTGTCCAGTTTTGGGCACCAAGATTCAAGAAAGATGCAAGTAAATTAGATTGGGTCCAGTGGAGGGCAACAAAAATCACCACAGCAAACTAAAGATATCAATTATTATTTAACTAATATATTTCCAAGCCTCCTTGAGGGACAAACACCTTCCCAGTGCAATTTAGAGAATAAAATTATATATAATAAAAACCTACGAAAATGATAAAATAGACAGATTTAATAAAATCAGTCAACACCAGCAGTAGATCATCTAGTCTGGGGGACAATAAAATCCAAAACACAAGAGCATCTTATAGCCCAGAACAGACCTCTTACACATACTCAGGAGAAAAACTCCAAAGAAAACAAGTCTTCAGGGCCTTCATAGAAGCTTGCAGTGATTGGGACCGATAGAACCCCAGTAGCAACCCATCAAATGAATTCAAGGCAACACAATGGAAGATACTCTTCCCAAACAACATGGTGCTCATAAATGAATAGTACATATATATCCTCTTCTTCTAGAGTTCAGAACACTTTAAAAAACTTTAAAAGTTAAGTACATGTAGGACTCCCCAGCTTTATCCAGGAGCTGTGCTTATATCTTAAAATTAACTAAGAGCACTATTCACTGGAGATATCCATAACTCACCAGACTCAGAAGGATTATGAGAAGCAGAAGGAACACAGAAATGATCTTCATTCCCATCCACATCCCCCTCTGCAAAGCAGCTAGATTTCAGCTGTCTAACTGAAGCACTTCAGAGGAAGAGAAACAGAGGTTGGGGCAGCACCATCCTGGTGGTCCTGGTCTCCCTGCTCGCCCTGGCATGCTCCCTAAACCAGTCCTCTGATGTTGCTGTTATGCTACAACAAAGCAGCCAGCCAGTTCTCTCTACGCCACATGTTGTCCAAAGCACCCGAGAACGGCTCTGTTCAGCAGCTTAGAAGGGGAAGGGAGCAGTGCCCTGTTCGGCTGTGAACACTCAGGGCAGAAGCTGTGGGTGTTACCCTAAACTATTTTCTGGTTCTCTCAGGAAGCACAATTCAGTGACACAAAGTGCAGCAGTCCTTTCATTCTGTTACACCTCCTTTACCAGAACATGCCCTCACCTTACTTTAAACACACAAGCAAAATCAGTGCTGTGCTTGCTATAAAAGGCAAGAAAGGACAGACAAAGTGACAGAAGAAGCATGAGAGGCGAATGGTTTAGGACCGCCTTGGCCAACCTGGTGCCTTCCAAATATCCTGGGCTAGGAGTGCCATAATGCCCCAGCCACATAGCCCAACACATGTTCAGGGTACCGGGCTGGGGAACGCTGCTCTAAGCACTGCAGTGACTTAATCCTCCCTTCAGGTCTCAGAAGATTTAAAAGTAGAACCACAGTGTTTGAATGAAATCTGACAATCTTAAACACATGCAAGTTAACAGTCAGTGCAAGTAGTGATTACAGTGCACACCCCATGATCTGGAAGATGGAATCATGATCTGGAATAATCACCTAACACAAAATTCTGCTGCTTTTTAACAGCTGTACAGGAATATTCAACTAATTCTTGTTCAACGGATTGTAGCCTACAAAGTCCTGACAGTTTTAGCATAGGATACCTGCAGCAAGAGGCCATTCATGAAAGGCAAACTGCCCAAGTTTATCACGTAATCATTAATTATTAAATAAAAATACACAATCTGGTTCACACATAACATTAACCCAGATTTTGTCCAGCAAACAACTGAACTCAGTGTGATGTACTTTCTCAGTTCCTTCCCTCCTCTTTCACCCATTCCCATCCTGTATTCCAAATGCCTTTGTGGCACTATAAAACTGGCAAGGGGATGATTACCACTCTTACCCATTGCCTCTTTTAATTGAGTGAAACAACGCAAGAATGAGCTACATTTGTGTGTTTGATATTTAACGTGGTTTGAAACCCATCTTTCTACCAAGAAAAATGGCACTCAAGACAGTTTAGAATCATCATCTTGCATAGCAACCATCCATGGTTTAAACAAACCATGGGTCCTTTTGCTGGGTTGTTCATGACTAACAATGGGTTCATGACTATGCCACACATCACAACACGACAAAATGCAATAGCCCATGGATGGCACAATACCACAAGATGGCATGCAAATAGGTCTTCATGATATATGTGCTATCTACACTGCTTCATTTGGTTCAGTTTTTAAATTGCACTTCATTCATATGAATAATTTTGTCAACAGAATACCTTTAAAATAAATGTAACCCTTAAAGCAGTCATTGTGGACATATGTGGAGCCAGAATACAGTGTGAAATATGACTGTGCCTACATATGTGAATAATGTACATGCAGAGGAATAACAGAGCTCTATTACCAAATCCGAAGAGTCAGTATAAATATGTGACAAATATAGTTTATTTTTGCTCAAAGAAAACTTGAGGGGTTTTTATAATGAAGGTTATTAAATACTTTATAATTAAATAGTTTAACTCAGCCTTGGATTAGAGCGAAAAGATGTTTAAAAACCCTATATAAAAACAAGCTAAAATTCTATAAAATTACCAGCTGCTGACGCAGACAGATGCTTTACCCACTTCAAGTAATGCTTTGTAATATTAGTTATTAGCACAGACCTCCTGGTGGATTGACAGCAACGCAGAGATTTGTGCCCTAAATTCTGAGAGCAGAACCAGACTGTTCATTGGCTCAGACACGCTACTGCATGGATTGTTCTTCAAACTGACCTGAATTATTCTGTCTTTTGCCAGAGTTCTTGTCATAAGAAGCTATTTAATATCATAGTTTCAACCAATGAAAAACATAAAACTGACCAAAAAATACAGAAACCACATTCTAAAAGAACAATTTTTAAAGGGCTTTTCAAACATGTTCAGTGGGGATTATTCCCAGCTAAAGTTATAGGCTGCAGCAAATAAACTCTACTGGATCATTAAAAGATCGTCAGACAGCGCTTGCACAACAGAAGAACTTATCTGGATTTGTGGGATCAGTTTTTTCATGCCAGCCTCTTCTGCTAGAACAGAAACAGTCTTCCATGTGCAGAATAGACTGTCCTCTAACAGAAGAACAGCTCTGGATCCAAGCCCACAACTTTAAATATATATGTACTGCAGTACACACCAGCGTGGCAATGAACCAACTCCTAAAAATTCTCCCTTAAAACAACAGTATTCTCCTTATACTGTGTGGCTTAAAAATATGTAAACTCCATTTAAAACGTAAGTGCCAAGCTTTACAATGTTCTTCCTCCTAAGTTCAATGATCTAATTAGTGAGGTAATGACGTATATTATTTTCCAGTAAATTCTTGTCCCAGAATAAAGTATTCCCTGGTATATCTCTATGGCTATAAACCATACAATTTTTCTTTTTAAAGCATTAGAATAATTGAAATGAACTCAACAGAGAAATAACAATTCATGTGAAGCTAACTACAAAAGATTAAAGAACACTATGACAACAAACAGCAAGTACAATTAATAACAGCAACATATAAATGTAACTACTAACTTCCTTATACTGCATTGGCATTGCCCCCCAAATTAATCATTATCATAAACTATCTCATTATATCAGAAATCAGAGGATCACTACTTGCACAGGAAACCAAAGCAGTAAAATACATTTTTAAAAGATTTCTTCCATTTTTCCCTGAGACTACATATAATTCATTCTATGATTTTTTAAGACTTCATGTACAATTTTTGTAAAAAACAACAATAGTACAGGATGAAAATAAAAAATACTTACCAAATTATGATTTGTTGAGTTAGAATCATCTTCTGGGAATGGGATATAAACAGCTAAGGCCACACAATTGGCAAAAATAGCCAGTAATATAAATATGTCAAATGGTCTGAAATATCTTGTTAAGGAACATCCAGTGTTGGAATATATACATATAAAGCCTAGTCTAATTCACTGCTAATTTTAATATTAGAGAAAACTGACATGATCTTGCCATTCTTTTGACTGACAGAATTAACAACTCATTTACTGCAAGCATCCATGATATCCCCCCTTCAAATTATTTTCCAGCACCATCATCCTTCAGTGTCCTCTTTTTGGTAATAATCCACACATTACATTTTGTCACACAAACTGTGCTTTACATTAAGTTTTTTAAAAATAAATCTAATTGCATAATACTGAATCACTATCTCAACCTTTATGAAATGCTCAAAGATCAGTTCCCTCTGTAGTGCTAATGTAACTTCTTGCATGCGTACAAATCACTGTAATAATAAACCATAACCTGATATTTTATTACCTTCTATAGAACAAGAATCTACAAGCTTTTTTTCTGTGAAAGGCTGAGATTTAGTAACTTTAACATAATATAAATCTTTTCTTCTGTCAAAATGGCTTTTAAAAATGAAAATAGCATCATCAGTATGGGAGAAGATTGACCACAAAAGCTTTGGGGTAGTATTTTAACTTTTCTTGCACTGATAGAATCATAAAGAAAATCTTTGGAAGAAAATCCTGACTCACTAGAGCAAGGGAGGAAAAGAGTTAAATTCTACTCCATACTAGGAGCAACTAATAATTATCGTCCTCCACCTAATGCTATTTGCATTTGTAAAGCTTCAAACCTTATCCAGCTTGGCCTTAAAATTATATAAAGGCAGGATCACCACATTTTTAAAGGAATAAATTATGGTTTGGTAGACCTTTCACTGCCAACTGTGAGAACTAAGGATTTTCCCAAGTAGTACTCCAGCGGGTGAGGGTGAGATAAATTTGTTATGGAAATTCTTTCACTGGAGATATCAAAAACTGTGTATATTTTTAAAACACACGATATCAAAGTCTGAAAGTACAGTTTCATCAAATGCAGCAACTGCTGGGGAGACAGGAAGAGAAAAGCAGGTAGACCTGCCCACTGTGACTCTAGCCCCACCCCCCGTTTGAGCCACATCCACTGCCAGCAACAGCCTCTGATAGAATCTCCTGAAGAATGCAATCCCCAACAGAAAAAATGTTGTCCACTATTACAGTAAAATATAAGCTAAAATTTATTAATATGCCAGTTCCCTTCACCTAGTGCACGCATGAACAACTTCTGGCCTTCCACATGCTTTGGCCTAAAACTCTTATGACGCTAATAAGGGTTGTAAGCCACATCTGCCAAGCTCCAAGTTGCCCATTCCTGGTCTTATGGAGGACTGTTCCTCCAAATAAAATTATCCTTCAAATGTAGGAGGACTCCTTCCATCAAATGATGGGACACTTTGGAGATAACCAATGTTGGTACATCAATTTTGCACATACTGAAAAATTCATGCACAGATTTCTCAGAAATCCTTTAGCAAATTGGAATAATGTTTGTCATCATTACGTAGCACAAGTAATTAGCACAGTGCACAGAAATTAGCAGCACAAGTAATCTACCAACAGAGCATTCCAAAACAGCTGTCAATAACCCTCTGGAGGATTACGGGCATCCAGTGAAGGGTAGAAGGAAGGAAGAAGGCGCCAAAGGTCACCACAGTACTCCTTGCGCCCCAGAAAAGATTTAGACATCTGCTCTCAGCAACCTAATGAAGAGGAAAGGCTATGGCCACATCCCCTGAACTATCCACAGACGTCCAGCTCCAAGGTCACTCTTCCAGCCTCAGAGCTGCCACTGGAGCAGTGGTTTGCACCAGCTGCAAGGTTCTCCCATGCTGGAATCCCCACTGACTGTGCATCCCATTTTGAGGGTGGATTGGAGCACAGACTTCTCCTATGGCCACTAGACTCTAAGACCCTAATAGTACCAATGAAACTGT